CGGTGCCGGCCTCTCCCCTGTTTGCTCTGAGATACCAGTCTCGCTCCTACCCAGCCCGGGCGGCTACCCTTGGGTGCTCCCTTCCCTCCCCGACACCCATACCGACCTTGATCGCCCACCTGGCAGGAGCAGGACAGGACGGATGGACGCGACCATGGCCGAGCTCCCGGGGCCCTTTCTCTGCGGGGCCCTGCTAGGCTTCCTGTGCCTGAGTGGTGAGGAGGGGCCAGGCGGGACCACGGCGAGAACTGGGGGGCATAGGCCTGGCTTCCCGGGCTCCTTGGGACCCACTCTGTCCCCGCCAGGCCAGATGAGGCTGCCGTGGGCCTCAGGGGCCCTAAGGCGCCTGGGGTGAGGCCGGGGAGGGGGTGTCGAAGGCCCGGAGTGGGGAGGAGAGAGGCCCCCAGGCCGGCGGGCGAGTTCGGCCTCTCCACCGCACAGGCCTGAACCACCCCGCCGCAGAGTTAGTGTTTTCCTTTCTCTGCTAAACACACAAACCGTCTTACCTGGCCCGGTTCCGGCTCTTTTACCCACAAAGACCCGGCACCTCCCGGAAACCTCAGGTTTTGGGAAGGGAGCGGTTGGATTGAGGGGAGAGCATTGTGCTCTGGGGAGGGAGCCCCCAGCTTCCAATGTAGATGCCCGGGGGTGGGCCCGACCCTCCAGATCACTGGAATTTGGGTTCCTACCTCCCTCTGGTCCCTGGCCCCAGGGCTGGCTGTGGAGGTGAAGGTACCCACGGAGCCGCTGAGCACGCCCCTGGGGAAGACAGCCGAGCTGACCTGCACCTACAGCACGTCGGTGGGAGACAGCTTCGCCCTGGAGTGGAGCTTTGTGCAGCCTGGGAAGCCCATCTCTGAGTCCCATCCAGTGAGCTATGAGCAACTGCATGAAGCTGGGTTGGCCTGGAGGGACAGGAGCCCAGGAAGAGGGCATGGGGTAGGGAGGGGGCGTTTGGGGATCAGTATGCTTGGATGAAAAGGTAAGTGGGCTCTCCCAAGATCTTTTCAGAGCTGCAGTCTGCCTGACCCTATATCTTCCTTTCCTCTCCCATAGATCCTATTTCCAACTCCCCTGCCTTAGTGTATCCATTGACACTAAGGTGTTGTGACTGATACCACGATAATATGCTGCCTCTTCTGCCTCTCTCTTAGAGAGATAAAGATGGGGGGGTGGGGAGAGAGAGAGAGAGAGACCAATGGATCAGGTTCATTTAGCACCTAAAAGGGGGTGGTGTTTGGGAACAGAGAGACCTTTGAGGTTCCAGCTACAGGGTGTCAGCTCCCTGGCTGATGTAAGTCAGGGGCCTCTTATACCCACTTTGATGAGGAAGGACTGTAGAGTTGATGCCAGGCAGAAAAAGGCACATATGTGTGTCTTCTGCCTCTTCCCAGATCCTGTACTTCACCAATGGCCAACTATATCCAACTGGTTCTAAGTCAAAGCGGGTCAGCCTGCTTCAGAACCCCCCCACAGTGGGGGTGGCCACACTGAAACTGACTGACGTCCACCCATCAGATACAGGAACCTACCTCTGCCAAGTCAACAACCCACCAGATTTCTACACCAATGGGTTGGGGCTAATCAACCTTACTGTGCTGGGTAAGGCAGGCTGGGGATCCACGAGCCACATACTCTTTCACATACTTGGGGGGGTTTGCACTGGTCCTGCTAAATCTCCAGTTTCTGACTTTTGACCTAAGCACACAACTGCACTGGGGGCCCCAAGCGAAAATACTCTCTCTTCAAGTCTTCTAATCCAGATGGTCATACTCCAACTCCACCCTCCACTGAGAGCATCTCCTCCATCAGAGCCTAATAACAGAGGGTGGGAGAGAAAGCCCTTCCCATACGTGGGGATCTGAGTCTGCTCCCAGAAGCTCCATCATGGGGGAGCCTCTCATTGGTAGTTGGATTCTGTCCCTCCCAAGGTCAGTGGCAGAGAAGGGGAGTGGCCATCAAAGGAACAAGGGCCGATATTACTGAGCAGCAACTTTGTGCTCAGAGCTTCTGTCTCAACCCAAACTAGAGCCTGTTCAGAGATGAGCAACCACAAAAACTATCAAAGAGGCTGGCAGTGTTTAGATGGAAAAGAGAAGGCCTAGGATGGGTGTATGACTGCTGGATTCAACTATCTGAAGGGCTGTCATGTGGAGGAGAGATTTTAATTTCTCTTTGTGGGCCCAAAGGGCAGGAACTGAAACCAATGGGTGGATATTATGTTAACACACATTTTGGCTCAACATGAGGAAGAGTTTTCTCTAACAATCAGAATTTCCAATAGTGGAAATCTCTCAGTTCCTGGGGATGCAGTGGTGTGTGGACACAAGAGGACCACTGTTTGATTGGGGTATTGAAGTAAAGAATGTAGCACCTAATGAAGTTGGGAGTGGGGTTGGAAGATTGCTGAGGAATTTTCTGTTTTTTGCAGTTCCCCCCAGTAATCCCTTATGCAGTCAGAGTGGACAAACCTCTGTGGGAGGCTCTACTGCACTGAGATGCAGCTCTTCCGAGGGGGCTCCCAAGCCAGTGTACAAATGGGTGCGTCTTGGATCTTTTCCTACACCTTCTCCTGGCAGCATGGTTCAAGGTAAGGGCCCAGGGCATCAGGAAGAGGGGACTGGAGACCTGGGCAAATCTGCCTCTTCCTTGGCTTCCTGTATGATTCCCTCCTGCCTGTCTTCCTGCACAGTGTGTGGCTGGGTGATCCTGGGAGTATTTCTCAAGCTGAATATATTACTGATATCCTGGAAGAAAGGAGAGGGCAGGGAGCATTCTGTTGATGCCCACCCATCTGCCATGGGGAGATTTCTTTTAGGTTTCCTAAGGGTCATGGATCACTTCCAAACTTCCTAGAGAGGAAACTGAGGCAGAGTAGCACGGACTGTCTTGAATCTTTTAACCAGTTTCTTTGGAGGAGCCTTAGTTTCTCAGCTTCCTCTTCCTGGATTCAGTTGTTCTCTCCAGCCCCAGCAAACTCCTTTATCAATCTAGAAATGAACGAGCCACCCCTAGATCACCTCCTGGTATGTGCTTTGCCTTCTCAGGCAAAGGTAAACAGTTTAGAAAAGCATTTGTGTCCACTTAGAGCCACCCTACAGGATGCAGTTTCTAGCAATCAAGCCTTTTTACCCCAAACCAGGAACCTGACATCAGCTAGTAAGCACCCCACCCTGACTCCATGGCCAGTTTCTGAATCCTTCATGAGTGTACAGTCCTCCTCCTCCCAAAAAGGCAGCTATGTAGGGTGGAAAGAACAGGTAAGTTGTAGCAGCTTTGGAATTCCTCTCTGGATCTCCTCAGATACACTACTTCCTTCTTCTGAACTGGTTTCCCCACCAATAAAAAAAAAAAAAAAAAATTAGTTCCTCCCTGACAGGATTGTTGTAAGGATGACATGAAATGTGCTGTCCTCATAGAGGTGCTCACTGAGTTGAATGGGCCGCAGAACACTTCCTCTTCATCCTCTAGATGAGGTGTCTGGCCAGCTCATTCTCACCAACCTCTCCCTGACCTCCTCGGGCACCTACCGCTGTGTGGCCACCAACCAGATGGGCAGTGCATCCTGTGAGCTGACCCTCTCTGTGACCGGTAGGGATGCTGGGTGGAGGCCAGGCCAACAGCCTTGTGTTGGGGAAGCTGTCGGCTGGTGGGCCGAGGAAAGCCTGCAACTCTGAAGGTCCTGTATCTCCTTAGAACCCTCCGAAGGCCGAGTGGCCGGAGCTCTGATTGGGGTGCTCCTGGTCGTGCTGTTGCTGTCAGTTGCTGTGTTCTGTCTGATCAGGTTCCACAAAGAGAGGGGGAAGAAGCCCAAGGAGACATATGGGGGTAGTGACCTTCGGTGAGCAGGAGGGCTGGGGGATGGTGCAAGGAGGGAGGAAGGGGCTTGGGTTAAAAGCAGGTGCCTGCAGTCCTCAAACTCCAACATCGTTCAGTGTGTTTAGGGGTAGGAGGTGTTGTTCAGCCCTGGGATTTGCTGGTGGCAGCAGTATAACCTGTGTATTTGAGGGTGCAGGCAAGCAGTACAGGGTGGAGTGGCTGGTAAAAGCTGTGGCAGGGAAGCTCAGTTTGCAGGACTGCCCTGCCCCTCCTCATTATTAACAAAGTTTACTTTTCTGTTCTGAACCACCTGGGAGGAGTAGTGGCTTGTAGATGCCGGGAGCTGGATTTGTCCTGAGCAGTCAGCTGAGTTCAGTTCTTCTGTGGAGGAAATCAATCAGGAAAGGGGAGGAGAAGCTGCCTCTGTCATCCACTTTAGTTGCCAGTCAGGGTCTAGGATAGAGATCAGAGCAATATTTCTCCAGGTGGAGTCCTCAGATTACCTGGACAGAAATCACCGGGAACTAGTTATACATTCAGATTCAGGCCACTCCTAGCCTTCCTAGAGTTGTGTGTTAGGGAGTGATGAGGCCCAGAAACTTCATTTTAACCAAAGTTCTGCAGATTATTCTCAAGCACAGTGAAATTTAAAAGTCCCCAGGTTAGAGGATGGCCCTCCTCTGCAGGAGGCTTCTACTGTTCACTAAGAACTTGCCTATACCCATCAGGGAGGATGCCATCGCTCCTGGGATCTCTGAGCACACTTCTATGAGGGCTGATTCTAGCAAGGGGTTCCTGGAAAGACCCTCGTCTGCCAGCACCGTGACAACCACCAAGTCCAAGCTCCCTATGATTGTGTGACTTCTCCCAATCCCTGGGAGGGCGGTGAGGGGGAATATCAATAATTAAAGTCTATGGGTACCATACTGTTTCCTTCTTTCTGCTGGTATGGCGAATTCCTCCAGGTGGCTCAAAAAGTATTAACAGTAAGAGAAGGAATGGGCTTGAAGTCCGAGAAAAGGTAGGCAGGAAGTTTGGTTGGGTCAAAGGGGTAGGTTTCAACCTAGGTGCCTCTCCACTTCACCCCACCAGCTCCCGATTTTTGGTTTGGCCCAAGGAGACTTGTTCAAGTTCCAAGCGGAGGCCTTGTGCGCCCAAACTCCCTCCCCCGGCACCCTCTGAACACTTGGACATTCCTCTTTATTGTTCACATTCCAACCCAGCACAGTCACATGCACACACGGAGATTAAAAACCTTTCGGCCACAGCCCCAGGAGCCCGGAGGTGGGGGGGGTGGGGGGGCGGGGCCGACAGGAGCGGGGCGGGGCCGTGGAAGACTCCTCCTACCGAGCCTCCCAGGCGCTCGGCGTTTGCATATAAACAAGAGAGCTGGAGAGGCTGCCCTCGACAGTGCGCTGGGGAAAGGGGAGGGAACGTGACAGGCAGGTGTGGGATAGGGACTTCTCTTCCGGTCAGAGCAAGGGGCGTCCGAAACCATAAAAACACTTTCCCTTCATCTCACCCCAGATCCAAAGTCCTGAGGCTAGGCTGGGGCGGGAGTGGCACGGAGATGTAGGGCGCCCCTTTTAGCTGCGCACAGAACGAAAGAACTTGTTTTTTCTTTAAGTGAGTGTACTTGGGTGACGCTTAGGGCGCCCTCCGCAGTGCGCGCAGGAAAGCGCACTGAGGCTGCGGAGGCAGAGCTGCATGCTGGGTGCGGGGAGAGGTGGGCGAGAAGCAAAAGAAGGAAGATTTGGGAACGCATGGTTTAGGGTGGGGTGGAGTGGAAGGGCAAATGGGGACCATACTAGACTGCAGAACTAACTAAAAGGGCACGGACTCAGCGACTCCGCGACGGAGCCTGCCTGGGTGAGGGAGTCTCTGGGACACAGGGGGCTCCCGTAGCTGGCAGGTTGCTGGGCAGGAGGGGGTCACAAACACGGCAGGGAAGTCTCGTCGCTGCGAAGGGAACGCGGCATCCATCTCTCCTCGGGAACTGAGGACAGAAAAGGTCTGAGAACCTGCCCTCTCCCGCCACTTCCTCTTCCCCCTCCTTTCCCCCTTTCAGTACCAGGATTCTTTGGGCGGGGAGTGCCAGGGGATCTCAGTCACCCAGAACCCCCCACCCCGAGTCAAAGCGCTGAAATGCGCCCCGCGGCAGGTACGTGTGCGAGCCGCGATGTATTTCTGCCCCTCGGCCGGGCTTGTGCAGCCAAATGGGGTGGCTTTGCATATGTATGTCCCCGTCGCAGCCTCGGGGGTCTGGATGTATCAGAAAACCTGCAGGGGCAGGGTGCATTTTCCCCGGCTGGGAGGGGTGAGGACGGGCAGAGGAAAGGGCTAGGGATTCCATCCTTTTCTCCTACTCATGCGTCCCACCCCGCCGCCTAGGGGCCGTGTTCTTTACCTTTGAAAATGCTCAGTTCTTCTTCGGTCCAGGGCGGGGCAGAAAGGAGGATACAGAGGGAGAAACAGGTGAGCTCCTGGAATCCGCCCAACCCTCAGCCTCTAACCACCCACCCACCTCCCATCTCGGATTTCTATCCCCCAACCCTTGGCTCCCTCCACGCCCCCTGCACCCCCAGCCCGCCCTTATTCTCCCTCTGCTCCTTCTGGGGAGGGCTGGGAAGGGCAGCTGTCAGCCTGCCGGCGCGCCGCCCGCCTCACCTGGCCTAGTCTCCGCTGGGGCCGCCGCCCGCGCCTCCCCGGGCCACCCCAGCTCCGCCAGGCCCCCCAGGGCCCGGGCCCTTCCGGCCGCGCTCTCCGCTCTTTATCTTCTTCCGAGCCATGTGGCCCCGAAAACTCGCCTGGATTTTGGCGGCGGCCGCGTTGGCGCCGGGGTCGTCCAGCGGGATGTCTAGAATGTCGTCGTCCGGCTTGGAGCAGGCGTTCTCCTGGGGGCGGAGCAGGAGGGTTCTTGTGGGGTCACTGTGTCTTGATCCGCGGGAGTGGGGTAGGAAGAGCCCTGAGGGACTGGGACTATGGCGATACGGGGGTGGGAGGTGCGGGGTGTCGAGCCTGGAGCAGGGCTATGGCAGGGACACGCACTGGGGCATGGGCAGCGACAGGCGAAGAAGGTTCAGGGCCAGGTGGACAGTCATGTCTCAATTCAGGAAAGAGAAGTGCAGGCAGGACTGGGTGTGGAAGAGCCAGGCCCATCACCAGCACCGAGTTAGGGGTCTGCAGAGCTGATTGGAGGGTGGTTTGGAGCAGCAAGGAAAACAGCGGCAGGCACTCCTGGAGTGGCCGCCTGTCCCCCTGCTCTCAGAGGGTAACTCCAGCTCAGAAGGACCCAGTCTGAGTCCAGGGTTTTCCATGGAGAGGGTGGAGAAGCCTCAGTCCGCCAGCCCTCTCCCCAGTAGAAATGCAGGAATCTCACAGCTGGAATTGGGGAGAAGTTGGGGATACTAGTCAGTGAGTCAGCCTCCCCCGACCTAAGACTAGAGGCCCAGAGATTGTTTTCCCATTGACTCTTCATTTTCCACTGCCCAAGCATGAACTCAGACACAGGAGATAGGCGATGATTTGGATGAAGTGATAGAGAAAAGTCTTCACTCCAAGAAAAAAAAAAAAGGAAAGGAAAGGAAAGAAAAGGAAAAGACCAGCAGGAGCAAGAAGCCCTTCCCAGGGTGTGCTTATGACGAAGAAAGGAATTATGGTGATAACTACCACTTAAGCACTTATCTTGTTCCAGGTGCAATAACAGTGTTTTACAGGCATTATTTTATTTAGTCTCTCAAAATAAAGCTATTACGTACCTTTTTATGATTACCCCTAATAAAACTAATGATTAGACTGTTTAAAAACCTACCTGGGTCATACAGACAGTTACCAGTGGACCCAAGATTCAAACCTTTGTATTTCAGAGTCCAGAATATATTTTTACCCCTACTTTTTAGGACAAGCAAATGCAGCCCAGTCAACCAACCAAGGACTACCATTTGCTATAGGTGTGTGGCCTTCAGCAAGTTATCTCATCTTTTCCTATCTCAGCACCTTCCTCTAAAATATCAGGATAATATTATCTACCTCTATGGGTTGTGGGGAAGAATAAACAGCATGATATGCATGAAGTCTCTTGCACAACCTAGCTGCTCAATAAATGGTAGCTCTTATGATTGTCTTAAAAATGACATTAAGTTAATGTGAAATAGTTGTTTTTGCAGGCCAAAAGTGGTCATAATAATAACAATTTCATATGGTTCAACCTACTAATAATTAGGCCCACCTCTATGCTTCAAACTAGGTTTCTGTTTCTCTGATAGCCTGCCCTGGTTGAAAGTAGAAGGGGTTGGGGGATTGACGGGATAGATTGCAGAAGAAAGGCTATGGAATGGAGAGGAATTCGGCCTCTGAGCCCCTTTGGTGCTTAACATTACTTGCAGTATTAGCGTGGGTCAGGATGGGGATGGTTACTATGAAGTTAGAAGGACATTTTTCTCCTTTGATCTGGCTCTCTGGCTTCTAGGAATTTGCCTCCTTCTTTTTTTTTTTTTTTTTCCATGAAGTCTTCCACTGCTTTGACTATCTTTTTCTTCTAGGACACGAGATGGCCAAGGTTTCACATAATAATGGTAATTCGGTTCTGCACATTCGCTCTCCCTGCCGCCATCCATCCAGTTCACAGAAGTGGACAGGATATGAGCAGGGCTTCAGTGACCACTGTCCTAGCCAGATTCTGCCCCAGGGGCACCAGCTTAAACTCCAGATGCCCAAGCCCCGGCTTAAAAATGGCTCCCCTCACCATGTTTCCCAAGGTTAGCCTCATTTCCTGGGCTTCACATTCTTCCATTTGTGCTCAAGATGCCCACAGTCGATTTAAACACAGGTAAAAGGAGTTACATTTTGGTGGAAGAGCCAAAGAAAACAAAAGTTACAAAAAGGCAGGTATGGTTGTGGAGGGGCCCAACACAGGTCTAGAGTGCTCAGAAAAGACTCCTTTGGAATATTTTATTCTTAGAGCTCAAGTCTTTCTTGGGATATCCTCAGGGAACAGTAAGGCTTCTTCTCAAAAGAGGGTGACAACCATAAAAAAGCATTCCTGACCTACCTCTCCTCCTTGGCCTCGCAGCTGTGGAGGAGTGGGAAGGTTGAGTGGAGGAAGGGATATCTGCCTCCAACCACGCTAGACCCGACCTGCTGTCACCACCCGCCCCAGCTGGATCCAGAATGGAAACCTGGAATAGCAGGCAAAGCCACCCCCGACACGCCATGTTCCTCCCCAGAACCAGCTCCCTCTCCTTCAGCTGAATTGTCAGGACACAGCTGCCAGGTTGCCAGTCCACAGGTGGAAGTGGAAGGGGATTAAAAGGACCTGGGAAGAGGTTCATTGGTCATGGTGTCTGGCTGGTGCCTTCCGAAGCTACGCTTGTTGGTGTGTGCCTGAGAGTTCCATAGGAACTAGGGACTTCTGGGAGGGAGGAGGAAGTGGAAGGGGCCCTGGTCAGCAAAGCAGGAGCCAAGGCTTCTAGTCCCAACTGGGCACATCGCTTCATTTCTGGGAGTCTCATTTTCTTCAGCCACAACTAATGAATGAAGTCTCCTTCAGCTCCCAAATCCAAATAGCTTTAAGGATTTCCCCTGCTTGCTGCTTGTTATATGTCAGGCCCTGTACTAAGTGCTTTGCACATATTTACCTCATTTAATCCCCATTTTCAGAAGTCAGGAAACAGCCTCTGAGACATTTTGTAACTTACCTAAGGTCACTCAGTTGACAAATAGTGAAGTGATTGATTCAGTAGCCTCTGCTGCTAGCCATTGCCTCAGGGCAGGTAATTATTTCTATGAATTCAGCAGGGCCAAGCCAACTAGACTAAGCAAAAGAAATGAGTAGGATCAAAAAAAAAACAATGTTTCTTTCATGTGCTTTTTCATGCGCAGTGAATGCAGGGAAAGTCATATATATATGGCTATGTAAATCAGCAACTGCAATATTTGAATCAACAGGAATAAAAAACCATTCCTCTGTCTCTTAAAAAAAATAGGCAGATCTGTTTTCTTCTTCCTCATTTCTATTTGAGCCTCTGTACCAAGGAGAAATGAGAATAAGGCAGGACTAGATTCTTCCCAAACACCAGGTGATGCAGTCAGTGAGGAGAGCTCCAGAATCAAAGAGGAAGAGGGACCTGCCTCTAGCCCCCAAGAGGTATGCTGTTCTTCCTACACATCTCAGCTCCCTCCCAGCACTGAGTCCCGCCCTCCACAGAAAGGGGAAGAAAATGCCCACCCCCAGCCCTGCCCTTCCCCAACCCTCCATCCATCACCCTTTCTTCTTCTTCCTGTCCTCCTGCACAGTCTGATATTGGTGCTCTCTCTTGCTCAGCCCTAAGCCCTGCAGATCTCTAGGACAGGGCATGACTTGGGAAGGCTCCTACTTGTACAGGGTGCACTGCAGGAGGTGCCCCAGGCCCTGGGCCATGGAGATAATTGTGTATCTGCTTCTTCTTTACCTTTTGGGTGGGTAGCCTTTCCTTGTTTAAGGGGCACTGACTCGAACCATGTCTACTAATCCTTCAGTATGGTTCCCTGGGCACTCAAGAGCAATAGTTCCAGGAAGGGACCCCCACATCCTACTCTAATTACTACTGCAGACACAGAGGAGACCAATTCCATTCCTTCCCTGGCCTCTTGGATTCTTTGTTTACTCACCTCTTTCCAGTGACCATGTCTCCCACTTCCCCTTTCCCAGCAACACTCCCCTCTCATCCTCACCTCTCCCCTCCCCCCAGCTCATTTCCCAGAACCCACCATCCATTTATCTTCCCTACTTTATACAACACTGCTGGGAGGAGGGGCTCTTCCTCAGTGGAGCCCAGGAACCTCCATGAGGAGCCCATTTCTCCCTTCACAACCAAAAAATTGCTTCCTGTAGAATAACAAGCAGAGGGAAAAGGCTGGAAGGAGATATGTTATCGGGGTGTTCTTCAGGGGGTGGGACTGTAAGTGACTGACATATTTCTTTTTCATACTTTTCTCTAGTTTTTACATTTTCTATTATGAGCAGATTACTTTATAATCAGTAAATATTTAGAGGAGAGGTTAAAGCACAGCTCTTCGAAGAAGACAGGGCTATGTTTGAATCCTGCCTCCACACTTAGGAGTCATGCTTCCTTGGAAAAATCGAACTTTCTAAACCTCAGTTGGCATATCTGTGAAATAATACCTACCTTACAGGGTTGTTGCGATGATTAAATATAAAGTGCTGACTACAGGGCTGGCATTCAGAAACTGGCAACTATTATTGAAACTAATAGGAGTTAAAATCGCAGCAACCACCACTTGCCCCTAAGTTTTCTCTGCCTCTTTGTACCCAAACATGGGAAAGTCTCACCTATTATAGTACTGGGCTATCCTTTCCTTCCAAAGCTCACTTTTTTCCCTTTACTGTGCCATAAGGTGGCAAAGTCAGTAACCTCATGTATCATTAGCTGGTTGACTGAATGACTGAAAATACAAGGACTTTGGAATAGTCTTTCTCCGAGTGCAGAGGCAAAAAATAAATACGCAAACAAATAAATTTCATATACGTATGATCACTGTACTCTTCCAGTGAGGCAGCAGACAGGGCCTGTGCCAGGCGCTTTCATACCGAGTCACCTTAACAGCAACCCTCTTGGGCGCTGGGCACTCGCAGTACCCCGGTTTCCGCGTGGGCGCTGACAAATTGCAGACACTTCCTTCCCTCGCCAGCAGGGCTCTCTCGCGGTCACTTCACCCAGCCCCTTCCAAGCGAGAAGGCCTTGGGGGCCGGGACAACCCCTCCCTAGAACCACCCTGACTAGGCTCTTTGCAGCCAGCATCACTACCGAGCTAACCAATATGGACCAGCCTGCGCTGCACAGGGAGCTTAGGCGATCGTTGGAGGGTCATGAGAATCAGCCTGTCCGCCCACCGACGGCGGCGGCAGGGGATGGGGAACGGACTGGGCGCCAAATGATAGGAGAAAGGAGTCGCCGCAGTGTCTCCAGGCGATGGTTTCCAGCGTCCCACTGGGGAGGAAGTTCCTCCTGTCACCCAACCTGCAGTTCCCCTGTTCCAGAGCCCTGCCGAGCTCCCAGTCCAGCCTAGGCTGCCTGGCTGATGGGCGCTCAGACGCCCCCGCGAGTTGAGGAGCATTTTTCCTACGGCTTCCAAGTCGGGCGGGCGCCTGCCACCATCCACCACCCACGTCTCGGCAAGGACCCCTTTTCTTTTTACTCCTAGGTCTTCCGCATCCACTTCCATTCCTCACTCGCCCTTCAGGGCTTTCTCAGGCTTCTCTCGCAGCAGACCCCGCCAAGTGCCCCTCCCCCGGGCCCTCTAACTTACGGTGCAGCAGTCCATGCTGGTGTCGGGGGTCCTCGGCGGGGACGAAGGCTGGCGCAGGGCGGGGGTGGGGTCTGTGTGGTGCCGGGTGGGGGCTCTGGGGCAGTCGGCAGCCAGCCGACCCGCGCCGAACCTGCAGCTCAGCTCTCGGGTCCGGTCTCCCGCGCTCGGCTCCGCTCGCGAATGTAACCTGAGCCCCGCGGCCGGGAAGCCAATCAGGAGCAGCCTCCGGCAGGGTGGGCGGGGAGAAGTGGAGGGAGGACCACGCCCTCTCGCGGCTGTCTCCGCCGCGCTCCCGCTCCTGCCCCAGCCCCTCCGCCTACACGCTTGTATCCAAGCCTCCTACACACTCCATCCTCCCGGGCGCAATCCCCTGGCTTGCTAGGCGGCAGACTGCCAGGCAGATGTACGCCGGAGTAGGCAGAAGGAGGACCCCGACACCCCGAGCACAAACACCCACATCTGGGCACAGCACCCCCTCCCGCTTATAGAAAACCACGCACCCCTCACCCACCCCTCCACACTTCCACAACCTAGCAGGAGTCCCAAATATGGCTCCCTCTAACTTCACTCCCCCTCAGTCCGCAAAGGAAGGCTCCCTAAGACGTGCGGTAAAAAGGTCTCATCATCACTCCTGCTACAGACGGAGAAACCTGTTGGTACAACCTGGCCATGGGCATGCGTCCATGCAAAAGCTCACAAGCCCCACATGTCCACATATGATTTTCGCAGGCCGCCTTCCAACATACAGACACTGCAGACACAACCTGCAAAAATAACTACGCAGCCCTTCAGTTTCAGGTAAATGTGAACACCCTGTTGTGGGCGCCCGCGCGCTCACGCACGCACACGGTCACCCAACTCAAGCTGTCAGCACGACATATCTATTATTGATCTGTCTATATGAGCTGCAGCAAACAAACAAAATAATATATGCACAACATCTATTTTTGATGCATTTATATATGGGCACCGACTTGGAAGAAGTATCCTCCTCCCTTTCATACCAGACTCGGCCTAACCTTTTAAGCTACTGCCTCAGAATAAGACAAAAGCTGGCCACACTCGCCCTTGCTCCTGGGAAGAAGAAAAATACCCTAAACCCAAGTATAGAGAATTCGAAGTAATTGGCTCTTGGGTCCAAGATGAGGCAGGATGTGGGCTTCGTGAGAGGCTGGGAAGGGGAGCTATGGAAAGAGCATCTGGGAGGGACAGCCTGCCACTGTTGTGGTCGTCAGCCTCCCCCAACTCGGCAGGGTACAAGAGCTGGCAGTGTGGCTTGTTATGTGGGTAGGGTAGGCCTTCTCTGAGAAAACTAGAAAGTCTTTCTCAGCTAAGGTCCCAGAGAAGGGAAGAAGGAAAGGATGGCTGCTGCTGGGAGCAAAGGTGGGAAATGCCCTGTGGCTTCGGGTGGGACAGCAAATCCTGAGACAGGTCTACTGTACATCCCCAGCCCCCGGGCATGACCAGGAACCACATGGCAGTGACATGCTTCCTTCCCACCTAGATGTTTGGGCCCGAGGCTCTGCTTGCCAAGGGAAAAATGAGTGGGAGGGAAATGCCTGTGTCCATTCAGGGTGGGGATAAGTTTAGCCAGCTTGCGGTCCCAGGCTGAGCTGGATGCTGGCCGGGATTCCAGGGCTTGGGGTGTAGGGGTGTCTCCCCCAGCATGTTTGGGACCCACCCACTTTTGTAATGAAAAATCTGTTCCCCAATCTGTCTCTGGCACATCCTCCATCTCCCCACCTCCACTAAATGGCCAGATGTCCTGGGAACTCAGGCCCTTGCCTAAATGACGGGCACATCTGTGACCTTAGGTTGTGCCAATTCCTGCTGGACTTCAACTCCAGAATCCAGAGAAGAGAGGAAAGGGGGAAATTAGGGGACAGAGTAGATACCAGGCCTAGACTCTGTGCTTTTCTCTTCCCAAATTAGAGCTGAGGAATTCGGGATTTGGTGAGTTTGCAGTAAAGTCTCCCAAGTTGCTAGGCAACATCCCTCTGCAGACTGCACTGCCTCTGGGCCCTTCTTCCTGCTGGTCAGAACTGAAGGGGGGGGGTATCTTTACAACACTCCCCCCCCCAACCAACTCCCACACAGGCAACACAGCCCTTCCCTCTTCCTGAAGGACACCTTTGTGTGGGGTGAGGGTGTCTCTGAACACTGGAGGGCCCATAGGAGAACAGATACGGCAACTGTCAGTTCCATCCGCAAAGCAACCATTTCAGCAACAGCCCACTCAGGGCGCCTACGCAGAACTGGCCACAGTGCTGGCCCTGGGGGATGGGAAGGCTCTGAGGTGAAGAAAAGACAGAGAGGAAGGCAGAGCCTGAGATGAGAAGACAGACACTCACAAACTCAAATACCAGTGGCAGGAGCGGCAACACATATGGCCTCATAGAAATTACACACACAGACCCAGAGATGCAGACACACACACTGCCCACACACCCAGAGAAACACACCCTGCACGGGCTGTCACCCACTGACATCCAAAGACATGCTCAGCGTGGGCCCCTTCACCGCTGTGGGGCCGGGGCATCCACTAGCCCTAGTGAAAAGTCTCCTCTTCTGAGCCTCTAGGTGGCTGGGGTTTGCCAGCAAGGTGGACTGGTAGGACTCAGCCTGTGATACTCAAATAGCTGAGCTAGGAGAAAGGACAGATGCAGTAAGGGATGGCTGGGTCTGCCTCTGCAGGCTCTGGTCTTTGGCAGAATGATGCCAAGTTATACTCCCCATGGTAACCTGCCTGGCCTACGGCCTGGGTGCCACTGGTCAACATGTGGAGTATGACTTACTGGCCAGATGGGCTTAGACTCGTAGTTGTTCTTGATTTTTCGAATTTTAAAGCTTCTCATCTACGGTGTGCAGCCCCCATAGCTACTGAAGGAGAATGGCTGGCCTGGAAAGGAGATGAGCTCTGGAAGGGAAGGGTCAGGTTAGAGAGGCAGCTGGGGCATGTTGTTGGGTGCCGTGGGATGGAACCAGCAGGAAGCACAGAGGTGAGAGGGGTAGGTGAGGGATAGACAAAAGAGAGGATAAAAGATGGATTAGTGGGAAGCTCCTGTGGTCCAATACAGATTCTTCTTGGGACAGATGGAAGGGGATTTGGAGAGGGTTGGTCCTAGTAAGCAGGGAGAAAAAGCCAAGGCATGTGACAATCTATTTGCCAATAACTTGTGGCTTCCCCTCCTCGGAGTGGGCACCTTCTGAACATCATATCCCACTTCAAGCCCACGGAGGGACTCATAATCAGAAGGGGGCTAGAAAGTAAGAGGCCTGTGCCTTTGGTGGAGCTGATCTGGGGGCTTCTTAGGTCAGGATTTTACCCATTTGAGTGGAGGGGGTGGAGGTAGCAGGAAATTCAGTTTTCTCTGCAAATATTTCAGCTTTTGCTGTTGTAGTATTTTTAGCAACCTGGTTGGCAGAGGAGCAGCCCGGGTACATTTTTAAAGGGGCCTCTGCCAGGCTGGAGGCCTCTTCCCATCCTCACCCCACATGTCAGAAAGGAGAGGGGGAGAAAACACGTGGTTTAAGGGGTCCATTCAAAGGCAGAAATCAGGTTTGCTGGACATTAGGTGACCGTTAAGTCATTTTCACCAGTAGTCATTTCGTTTAGTCATTGTCAGCATCGTGATTGTTACCGGCATTATCATGAGGAGTAAATATTTATTGAACTTCTGCTATGTTCAGGGTGCTGCTAGGGAGACAATATGGGAGGCTTGATATAATATATTTGCTAAGATGGGGAAAGAACCACTATTCCAGAGTGAGTTCTAGGCTAAATCTGAATAGCACTTTACAAAGTGCTACCACATCTATTATTTAAAGTGGTGTTCTTGAGAACAGTGTGAGGAGGTATTAATCTTCCTTTCTTCCTTCCTTCCTTCCTTTCTCTCTCTTTCTTTCTTTCTTTTTCTTTCTTTCTTTCTTTCTTTCTTTCTTTCTTTCTTTCTTTCTTTCTTTCTTTCTTTCTTTCTTTTTCTTTTCTTTTCTTTTCTTTTCTTTCTCTTTCTTCTTCTTTTTTTTTTTTTTGAGACAGAGTCACATGCCATCACCCAGGTTGAAGTGCAGTGGCACAATCTTAAGCAACCTCCACCTCCCAGGTTCAAGCGATTCTCCTGCCTCAGCCTCCTGAGTAGCTGGGATTACAGGCGCCCACTACAACACCTGGCTAATTTTTTTGTACTTTTAGTAGAGAGGGGGTTTTGTCATGTTTGCTAGGTTGGTCTCGAACTCTTGGCCTCAAGTGATCTGCCTGCCTTAGCCTCCCAAAGTGCTGGGATTACGGGAGTGAGCCACCATGCCCAGTCTAGGAGGTACTGTTATTTCTAACCTCTTTTTCTGAGGAGGAAACTGAGGCTGGGAGATGTTAAGTGACTTGCTATTTGTCCAGCATTAGATCTCTGTTGAAATGCAGAACTAGGACTAAAACCCAGGAGCTCTGACTTCCAATTCTGTGTTTCTCCTCTACAGTGCTCCTAGCATATGTTAAGCAAATCAGACGTAATCTCTTTTCTTTTGGATGTTGTAATCTGATGGAAAAAGTACATATATGTGTGCATGTGTGTGTATAAAATAATGAATGATAGATACCAAAGGAATTAAGCTGGCAGTACCTGTTACGGGAGTTGAGGTGTGGGAGAAATGACTGAGAATTTGAATGGTCAAGGAAGGCTCCCTGGATGATGGTTTGAAGCAAGTGTGAATCTAAAAGTATCTGAGACAGTTATCAATCAATTTGGAGAGTTCATTTTGCCAAGTTAAGGAAGCACCTGTTGACATATCCTCAAGAGGTACAGATGATGTATGCCCAAGGTAGTTGGGTATAAGCTTGCTTTACAAGCTTGTACAAGGGGTACAGCTTGCTTTTATACTTTTTAGGAAGACATAATACATCAATCAATACTTGTAAGATGTACATTGGTTTGATCTGGAAAGATGGGACAACTTGAAGTTGTGGTGGAGGGTGGTGGCTTCCGGGTTATAGGTAGATTTAAAATTTTTCTGATTGGCAATCAGTTGAAAGAGTTATTATCTAAAGACTTGGAATCAATAGAAAGGAAATATCTGGCTTACATGGATAAGCAGAGTTTTATCATGCAGACAAAGCCTCCAGGTAGCAGGCTGCAGAGAGAATAGATGATAAATGTTTCTTATCAGACTTAAGGTCTGTGTTGATGTTAATGCTG